ATGGCATCGTACTTTAATGAAAAAATAAATAAATTACATCACAAATGCATTGACTTGTATTGTGAACGGACAAGGAGAGGAAAGATGTTTATACAATTTAGAGTCAGTTAATTGCTTCCAATGCATTGACTTGTATTGTGAATGGGCAAGGAGAGGAAAGAAGTTTAGAAGAAACTTGCACTGTTTAACATGTTTTAATGTTATATTTCCAGTTTACATATCCAAAGATATCGGAATTCTCAGTCATATCTTGTGGTGTTGGAAAGATTGGCATGAACTATATCTAATGATGAAAGCAATGTTGTTTTATCTATGTTCATTCTCGTCCTTCTATTTTTTCCATTTTAACATGCTGACTTTTCTCTAATTTTTGCAGATCTTCCTCCCGAAAATGAAACAAATGGTTATATATTTATCCATGCAGAGGGTGGTTTGAATCAGCAAAGGATTGCTGTATGGATTCATTTTGTCAAATAGTGTAATTATGAAAGTTCTGTGTTTTTCCTTTTCCTTTGGTTTTGAACGATATATCACTCACAGAACACCACCCACCCACCCCCAACACACACTCAAAGTAAGGAGTTACATGGACCTTGAGAATCTATCTCTTCATCTTCTGGATGGCCTAATGTGTTATGGAACCACATAGTTCTTTCATCTTGAGCTACCTCAGATCTCTTTAGACTTTTGTTGTTAGATGTGCTGTCTCTACTCTGTAAGTGATGAATTTTTTGTTTGGAATATGGAAACTAATCATAGATTGTGATATGATTTATCAGCCTAAATTCCATCTTTTCTAATTTGATTCACTGTTGTGTCTTCCCATGCTGGCCATGGACACAGAAAAACTGGCACGCCGCACACTGTCCATAGGGATAACAGCTCTAAATAACTAGAGTTAAGTTTCTATTTAGCTATAATAAGGGACAATGATTTCATATTTGGGGGATTCTCCCTAATGTTGCCCAAGTCAGGCCTCAAGGTTCACGCTGCTGTTCACATTGCTGAGACTTGCACCTCTAAGTGATCACTCCACTGAGAATCTTTTAATGGCATTAGTTTGGAATAATGTTTGTTAGTTCAGC